GATGGCACAAAAACAGAATGCAGGTTGCCTTGAGAAGTATTTCATGGGAGATCTTGGAGCTGGGAATTTGGTGAGTAAAAATTGCTACCAGGGAGATGCCTTGCTGTCAAGAGATACAGAGGACTACAACAGGACAACTTCCTCAAGGAGCAGATCAACAGGTAAGTCCTGAGAAGAGACTGGTGTAGTGATGCTGACAGAAGTCTGATGTGATCTATAACCCAGTTAATCTGGGAAGGCACAGGCCTCTGCTGTGCTGTGTTCTGCTCCACAAATCCTTTGGTGAAAGGTTAAACTCATGTCATGGTAACCAAAGAACCTGCAGGCAGCTCCCGCTTGGTACTGATGAGAAAGCCAACTGTAAGCAAGAAGTCTGCATGCAGAGTTCTTTTACTGGGACACAAAAAATGATAAATAAAACTGCTTTACTGCATGAAAGTCGTGTAATGTCTCGAAGGAGTGAAACAGAAGCACTCCTCCTTTTCTGTGACCGGGACCTGCATGGCTGCAGTGTGTGGCTGGAGTCCTATGGGAAGTTACTTCCACTAAGTATTCTCCAAGTCTAAAGGGATGTAGGATGATCTCTACTAATATCTTCTAGGAGTGTGAGCTATAAAAGAGGGTCAGTGTGTCTCTCTTACTGAGATCTCTAGAGATCATCACCCTTTGTAGCTATACTGCTGGATCTCAGGTCATTCCACTTTGAGGCCCTGAGTGTCAGTTCATAAATAGATGATTCATCACAGCTTTTACTCTAAGGGTGGGAGGCACTTTCCTATCTTGGAAGGCCTGAACCAACACTGAGATTTCCCGAGGGTCTCACCAGACATACCCTTTAGGAAGGGTTAAGTCCTTAGGCTAGGTAATAAGAACCCTTAGCAGAAGGAATGCTTTTTTGGATCTGTTGGTCATCAACACAAGTAGATAATCAGGGATATCAAGATGGGAGGCAGCCTGAGCTGCCATGGTCATGCACTGCTGGAGTTCACTGTCCTGATGGAAATGGATCAGGCAAAGAGTAAATTTAGGATGCTGAATTTTAGGAAAACGCACTTCCACCTATTCAAGGAGTTAGTCAGTGCATCTCCCTAGGAAAATGCCCTGAGGAACAAGGGAGCAGAACAGAGTTGACAGACGTTTGAGGATGGTTGCCACACACTGGAACAGACCTCTTGAATCCATGTGTAAGAAATCAGGAAAAGAAGGGAAGAGACCAGAATAGCCAAGGGAAGACTTGCAGGTGAAACCAAGGGACAAGAAAGAAATGCTCAGACAGTGGAAGAAGAGACAGGCGTCCTAGAAAGGGTATAGGAGTGTTGCCTAGTTTTTTAGGGATAGAGTCAGGAATTCAAGGCACAGCTGGAGCTGAACTCAACAAGAGATACAAAGAATAGCAAGAAGGGTTTCTACGTGTATGTAAGACAGAAAAACAAGGTAACAACTCTTCCCCCCCCTCCCCCCCCTCCCATCTTCCCATGATGAACACAACTGGCAAGCTGGTAACAACAGATCGGGAGAATGCTGAAGTGCTCAACCCTCAGTCATCCCTGGCAATGTCTCTCCTCACACCTATCAAGTGGATGGAGATCAAGACAGGGACTGGGGGAACAAAGTCCCTCTGACTGTAGAGAAGATCAGGTTCGAGACCATCTGGGGACCCTGAACATGGAAAAGTCTATTGCTGCCTTGTGCTATTGCACAGGGTTTGGAAATCAGGTGGCTGAAGTTGTTCTTGTATTAAGCTGCGTTGGTAGAGAAGGTAAGTTAAAAAAAGTCATTCAAGCATGACTGCCCCAAAAGCTGGGCAGTTAGTGAGGGATATAGTGCTTTTGAAATAAAGGTACATGACTAATACAGACTAAGAGAATTTTATATCTATATTTTATCACTATTACAAAAACATTTTCCTGTGTGGTAGAAACAGCAAACCACGGGACGCCTCTGCCTTCTTAGCGGTCGCGATCAGCTTCTCAAGGAAGAGGTGAGCTGGAGGGGGCTGAATGGGGCCTGATGTCTCTGTGGCGTCTCTGCCATCCCCGTGAGCTTCCCGTGGGCCAGGAAGGGCGATCATCTCTCGGCAGCGCTCGGTGCCTGCAGTGCGGGGAGGAGGCTGCGGGCGCCGCTGTTGACTGAGAGGAGCGAGAGGAAAGTCGGAGCGCTGCAGCCCCGCCCGCAGCCGATAGAATCTCTTGCCCGCTCGTTCGGTGTCCGGCTCGGCAGACGCCGAACTGCAATCGTCCCCGCGCTGCGGAGCCGTGTTGAAAGAGGCGGAGAGGCCGGCGGCAGCGGCCGGGAGCGGCGAGCCGGAGAAGGAATTGGAGCAGAAGCGGGAACCGAAGCTGGTACAAGATCGGCGGGCGGCGGCGGGGACCTCCCGAAACAGTTGCTGTGCCGGCGGTGCGGCGGCGGTGATGTGCCTGGCGGGGAGGCGCTGGGGTCGGCGGCAGCGAGTCCTGCTCTGGGGCGTCCTGCTGGCGGCCTGGGAGGCGGCGTGGGGGCAGCTGCGCTACTCGGTGCCCGAGGAGATGCCCAAGGGCTCGTTCGTGGGCGACGTGGCCAAGGACCTGGGGCTGCAGCTGCCGGCGCTCCGCCACCGCGACGCCCACGTTTTTGACACAGGTAAGACACGGCACTTCTTTCTGGACATGGAGAACGGCCATTTATCTATGATGGAGCAGGTGGACAGAGAGGAGATATGCGCAGCTGTTCCTAAATGTGTTCTAAATTTTGAAATTCTTGTAAAGCAGCCAATGAACATTTACAAAGGGGAGGTAGAAATACTGGATATTAATGATAATGCTCCCAGTTTCCCAGAAAGAAGCAGTGTCTTAGAAATCATCGAGTATACTGCACCAGGCGCGCGTTTCCCGTTGGAGAAAGCTCACGATCCTGACACAGGAGTGAACTCTTTACAGAATTATGAATGTAGCAAGAGCAGCTATTTCACCTTGGACGTGAAAAACGGAGATGATGGTGTGAAATATCCGGAATTAATACTGGTGAAATCTTTGGACCGGGAACAGCAGGCTGTTCATAATTTGATCCTAACAGCCACAGATGGTGGGATTCCGATGAAATCGGGATCGACAACAATACAAATAGTTGTGCTAGATGGAAATGACAATGCTCCAGAATTTACTCAGTCTGTGTATAAGGTGACCGTGAGAGAAGACGTGGCCGTGGGAAGTCGGGTATTACAGGTGACAGCGACTGACAGAGACGAGGGACCAAACGCTGAGGTGAAATACTCGTTCTTTAAAATCCCAGAGAAGTTCGACAAAACTTTTAAACTGGATCCCGAGAGTGGGGAAATTGAAATAACAGAGAAGTTGAATTTCGAAGAACACGAGTTTTACGAATTGGTTGTGCAAGCTCGAGATGCGGGCGGACTTTCTTCCTACAGCAAGGTACACATCAAGGTCGCTGATGTGAACAACTACATTCCCGAGATTGTCATTATGTCCGTGTTCAGTCCGGTTCCAGAAGACACACCGCTGGGAACAGTAGTCGCCATTTTCAGCGTCCAAGACAGGGACTCTGGGGCCAACGGTGAGGTGCAGTGCAGCATCATAGAAAGCCTCCCGTTCCGCCTAGAGAAGTCATTCAATAATTACTACCGCGTGGTGACTGCAGAGCTGCTGGACCGCGAGCAGCAGTCGGAGTACAACGTGACGGTGCGGGCGTCCGACGGCGGGTGGCCGGCGCTGCAGAGCAGCAGGGTGCTGGCGCTGCGGGTGCTGGACGTGAACGACAACGCGCCGGTGTTCTCGCAGGAGCGCTACAGCGCGCGTCTGCGGGAGAACAACGCGGCGGGCGCGCTGGTGCT